CCACAGTGCCTTCCCTAATCAAGAAAATGCCTGACAATCTAGCCTACAGGCCAGTCTTATAGAGACTTTTCTCATTTGAGAATCCCTCTTCATGGAAGATAGAGAGATGACTCAGAGGCTAAGAACACTGCTCTTCTAGAGGTCCTGAGTTCAATTTCCAGCAACCACATGATGGTTCACAACCATCTTTAATGACATCTAGCACTCTCTTAGGACCTGCAGACATACATGCACTCAGAACACTGTATGCATAATAAATAAATCTTAAAAAAAAAAACAAAAAAGAAGAGATTCCCTCTTCCTGATGACTCTAATTTGTGTCAGGTTGACATAAAGCCAGCACACCATGTTCATGGAAATGGAAGGTATCATGTTTGTTGAGATTAAAAACTCCATATCCATGGAAAAAGAATGTTCCATATTCCTACAGGTGGATGTCATGCTCATGGAGGTTGGAGGTACCATGTTAATGAACCCCTAAGGGGAACCTATGGTGACACAAAATACTGAGGACAAGTCAGGATCCAGGACGTGATGAGTAAGGCCTCCTTTCTGTAATTCCAAATAGTAAAAGAGAACCAGTACTCCCTGGTCTGGGGCCGATGTCTGTACAACTTCCTACTTTCTCACATTCTGTTTGAAAGATTGAGTAAAACCACAGAGGGGAAGGGGTGAGGGCTGCATGTGACTGGTTTCCCTCCCAAGGTGTTCCCTTCTCTGAGGCAAGTCTTGGTAGGAACACAACTGTCCATCTGAAAGAATGGACACTATCAAGCCAATGGACACAATATTGGCCTTAGGCTAGGATACCTGGTCCAGAAGAACTCTGAGGGGCTAGGTCGCTAAACTCCCTCTGGCTCTATCCTGGATTAAGATTTCATCTTGTGTCCTCCACTAAGACCCATGAATCTATTCATAAGCTTCTTTTTCTTTCCTGGGTCTCCATTACTACAGGTGTATCCCATCTGCAACCCTGGGTCCCACAGCCCTAGAATAGTTGTGAACATAGCTCAACACAAAAACCACAAATCTCCTTAAAACATTAGGAGAGAAAAATAAAGAGGCTCAACTGGGAAGTTTCTGGAGCATAAACTTTGTATATAACCCCTGTCATGATGTCAGATGACTGAACACACCTCTGCCATGATGCTCTAGGGAAGACCCTGGACCTGTCCACCTCTAGAACCCCGTATCCACATTTCATCTACCCTCAGCTCTACAAAAGACATTAAAAGGAAACCTTTAGTTGAAAAAAGTTAACCACACCCAAGAAGACATAAGGAACAGGAAATCAAAGGGAGGGATACCTTAACAACAAAATAACAGGAACCAATAAGTACTATTCATTGATAGCTGTCAATATCATTGGCCTTAATCCCCCAATAAAAAGAAGACACAGGCTAGCCTGGGCAATGGTGGTACATGTCCCAGCACTTGGGAGGCAAAGGCAGGCAAGTCTTTGATATCAAGGCCAGCCTGGCCTACATAGTGATTTCAAGGGCAGTCAAGGATACTCAAAGAAATCCTGTCTCAAAAAAGAAAAAAAAAGGCTTACTAATAAATTGGATGTAAAAACAGGATTCATCCTTTTTCTTCATCGCAGGGTAAAAGGATGGGAAACACTATCCCAAGCAAAGAGATCCAAGAAACAAGCCAGAGTAGCCATTTTAATATCTGACAAAATAGACTTCGAAACAAAACTAATGAGAAGAGACAGGGAAGGTCACTCATCAAAGGAAAAATCCATCAAGAGGATAGTGAAATTTTAAACAATTGTGCCTACAACACAGGGCACCTAAGTTCATAAAAGAAACACTACTACAGCTAAATTTATGTATTGATCCTCACGCAGTAATAGTGTGTGACCAGTATTCCAACCTCACCAATGCACGGGTCATTCAGTCAAAAAACAAACAGAGAAATTCTGGAATTAAATTATGTCATAAATCAAATGGACCTAGCAAATATCTACAGAACTTATCACCCAAACACAGAAGAATACACCACATACTTGGACACAAAACAAGTCTCAACAGACACAAGATGAAATAACATCTTGCATCTTTTCTGACTATCATGGAATAATGCTGGATATCAACAACAATAGAGACAACAGAAAGTTTACAAACTTGTGGAAACTGAACAATGTACCAGTGAATGAAAAATGCAGGGATGATGCAACATATATAAGTCTGTAAACCTGATCCATTGCATAAACAGACTGAAAGAAAAAAACCATGTGGTCATCTCATTAGATGCAGGAAAAGCCTTTGACAAAATCCAACACCCCTTCATGACAAAAGTCCTGGAGATTCCAGGAATACAAGGGACATACCTCAACTTAATAACAGCAACATACAGCAAGCCCACAGTAAATATCAACTCAAGTGGAGAGAAATTCAAAGCAATTCTACTACCAAAGGAAAAGAGTAACCACTAACCCAGCTACAAGTCTTTTGGCCCACAACAGCGACCTTCCTGAAAGATACACTGGCGCAATGGTGGCACAAAGTTTGTAGGCATACCCATCCACTCTGGATTTAAGGCCAAAGCACACACTATGAGATGGAACTCACACCTGACACCGCTCATGTGACCAATAACCTGAGACTGGGTAGACCAGGGACCTAGGGGAAAACCAAACAATACTGTTCTACTAAAGGAACATGGCAAGAGAATGACTCCTAAAAAATTCTACTTTGCTCATAGACCAGTGCCTTGCTCAGCTATCTCCAGAGAAGCTTCTTGCAGCAGACTGGAATTCATACAGAGACTCACAACTGGACAGTGTGCAGAGCATGGGAGACTGTGAAGCAGTGTGTCTTAATGGAAAGTCTTCATCAGACCTCTCCCCACTGTACAGAAGAGCAGGAGAAAGATTGTAAGAGCAAGGGGAGATGAATGACTACAAAGAAACAGTGTCTTCCAGACACAGCAGGACTGATGCACACACAGACTCACAAAGACTCTGGAGGCACACACAGGGCCTGTGCAGGTTCAAGCCAGATGGAGTGGGGTCTCAGCACTGAGAGTGGGGAGTGGACATGGGATCACACCCTTAACCAAGAAGCCACCCGGAATTGGCAGTCACTGGCGAAGGAAATTTGTGTTTTCTCCAATGGAGTCTCACTAGGGTTATTAACCACACTCAGAGCAGGCCCCATGCCTGGGAGTAGGTGACCAATACACAACAACCTCAACAGTATTTTTGTAGACTTTTCCTCTCATATTGGTTTGTTGGGACACTTTTTTGTCTTATTAGGCTTTTGCTTGTATATTTTGTGTTCCATTTTGTGGGATGTGTTTTGCAAGTGTGTGTGTGTGTGTGTGTGTGTGTGTGTGTGTGTTTCTTATATTTTTTTTTAGGAAAGAGAAAGAAAGGGCATGGAGTTCAGTGGGTGGGTGGGGAGGACCTGGGAGAAGCTAGTGGGTGGGAAAAGCATGCTCACAATATTTTCAATTTAAAAAAAAAGTGTATTGACAAAAATAAAATACGGCTGAGCATTGTGAGACACACTTTTAATCTCAGCATCAAGCAAAGGCAAGCAGATCTCTGAGAGTTCATAGCAAGTTCCAGGACAACCAGGGCTACATAGAAAGACCCGCATTCTCCAAAAAAAAAAGACAAAACAGAAAAGAGAAGAGTCAAACGAGGAAAGAAAGGGATCATAAATCCATTACTATAGGGAAGTCCATCAAGGCAGGAACTTCCTAGTCACATGACACTCATGGTCAAAAGAGAAACAAATGCATTTGGGTTCATTTACTTGCTGTCAGCTACCTCTCTCCACCATTACACTGCTCAAGACTCTCTATCTAGATCATGATGCTACCCACAGTGGGCTGAATCTTCCTGCATCACGTAACAATCAAGACAGTCCCCCATAGACATTGTCACGGGCCAAGCTGATCTAAATAATTCCTCACTAAGACTGTCTTCCCAGTTGATTGTGTAAAAAAGTAGCAATCACAGCAAGAATAACAGGCTGGATGGAGGATGGAGAAGTGTGTGTTAGTGGGAGGCTGGGGAAGTGCCAAGTTTAGGGATATAGGTACCCAGCCCACACTGCCTAGGTTCAAATGCCAGCTCTACCATCTAGGAGCTGTGTAATCTTGGGGAAGTTACTTATCTCTGGACTTCCATAAGACAGCATTGATTTCCAAAGCATTGAGCTCCTGGGGTAGTTGTAAAAATTAAAATTTTCATTATATATAAGACAAGAAGAATTGTTCCATCCCTGTGTTGCTTCTAAATTAACTGTGGTTGTCAATATTTGAGTGTTTTATTGTTTTAACTCGGAGTTTTCATTTGTTCTATGTGTAGCCTAGACTGGCCTTAGATTCACTGTGTAGCCCAGGCTAGCCTTAAAATCACAATCCTTCTGCCTCAACTTCCAAGTACTTGGATTACAGACTTGCCTAAATGCACCTGTGTGTGTGTGTGTGTGTGAGAGAGAGAGAGAGAGAGAGAGAGAGAGAGAGAGAGAGAGCGAGAGCGAGCGAGAGTCACATCTCCTCCTCCTGTCTCAGCGTCATGGTCCCAGTCCCCACCCCATCCCTGCAATGCATGTCCTTTTTCTCTCTGTTTCTATCACCTGCCCTTCCTCCATCCTTGCCCCTTCCCTGTTTCCCTTCCCTCTGCCTCCTCTCTCCCTTTCTGTCCTGTCCTGGGTCTCCCTCGGGGTCTCTCTCCCCTCTCCCTCCCTCTGCTTTCTCTTCAGGCCTCCTTTGTTTCTTTCTGTCTCTCCCACTCCTCTCTTCCTATCTCCTCCATCTCTCCCCTCTTTCTTGTTCTGTCTCTCTCTCATGCACACTCCTCTCTCTCTCCCCATCTCCTCTCTCTCTCTCTTCCTTTCCCTCTTTCCTCCCTCCTCCTTCTCCCCTCCCTCTCTCACCATCTTCTCTCTCTCTTCTCTCCCCTCACACAGTGATTCAGTCCGCCATAGTTTCGGTTCAGATCTAGGCTATACCACTTCCTTCCCTCTGAAATTCAAGAGTCTCCTACAGTTCATTTACCTGAGAAATAAAGGTAATAATAGCCTGGAGTTCCCCAGGTTCTGAGGAGCACCAAAAAAAGTCATTGTGTGTGCTGTGATCGCCCAGATGGCAAGCCCATAATTAGGTCTGTGAAAATACAAGCCATTAGTGAGCTGCTCACAAAGGAGAAGCATTTCCATCGAGCTGGCCCTGCTGCCCTCTCCAATTTGCCCACAAACACCAAGACAGGCTCCAAGTTCCAGTAAGTAAGTGTGTGTGTGTGTGTGTGTGTGTGTGTGTGTGTGTGTGTGTGTGTGTGGTCTGTTTTTCTCTGCATCAGCACCTAGCTATGGGTACTAGACAGCAAAGGCTCCCTGAAAGAAACTACCTTAGACCACCAGAAAGCCCAGTTGGCAAGCAGGGGCAACAGTGTTAGACAGAGTCAAGAGGCACTCAGGCCTCAGATTAGGAGATGAGCCTCTGCCTAGGGATCTGGGCCTAAACCAGGCTTCTCCCTGGGAGAGTGACTTAGTTTATTCACTTACAAAAGGAGTGAGCAACAATTTGACTCTATTTGTATAAAGGTGCTTAGCACACCACTGACTTGATAATCAGAAAATACATAAAGAAAGAAAAACCAGAGAGACAGAGAGGTAAGAGAGACAATTGAGGGACACACAGGACAGAAAGAGAGGGGGGAGGGGAAAGAGAGAGGGGACAAGGATGGAGGAGGGGCATGTGATAGAAAGAGCCAAAACTACAATCAGACCCAGTGGCATCCAGAGTGCATGCTCATGATAGATGTTGTGCACATCCAAATGGACCTGCCACAGCCCCACAGCACTGCTTGCCCTAGTGGTCCATGACTGGCATCCCGGTGTAGGGAAATGAACACGAGGAACCCTGGCACTCACTGGCCTTCCTACCTCATCCAATTCACAAACTCTGGGCCACTGAGAGATCCTGTCTCAAGATAACTCCATGGTAGGAGACTGCAGACAAGGCTCAGTGGATAAGCGCTCTTGCTGGGCAAGCAGCACCCAGAAATGACAGATAGATAGATAGATAGATAGATAGATAGATAGATAGATAGATAGATAGATAGATGATAGGTTGATAGATGACACATAGATAGATGATAGGTTGATAGATAATACATAGATAAATGATAGAGATAGATAGATAGATAGATAGATAGATAGATAGATAGATAGATAGATGATACATAGATATGCAGATGATAGATAGATCCAGGCATGCTCATACACAAGCATGAAGTCATGTCTGTAATCCCAGCACTGGGGTCAGAAGGTGGAGACAGGAGGGTTGCTGGGGCTTGCTGGCTGCTAACCCAGCTCCAGGCTCAGTGAGAGACTTGCCTCAAGGGAATTAAGTAGAATGTAATAGAGCTGGACCATGATATCTTCCTGTGGCCTGTGCATACATGTGTACGTGTGTATACACTAACACACATGCACAAGCTTACAGCATACACATGCATGAGCCACATGTACACACATGTACCTGGCACACTGGCATACACGTACCTGAATGCATGCATACATATACACAGGTACTAAACATTCCCTTTTTACAGATAAAGAAGACATTTCTAGTTTAAATCAGTAGCCAATGATGCATATGTATTGAGCACCTACTGTTGCCTCCTGTGTGAGCTCCTGTGTGAGCTCTGCACGCTGGACTTGTGGCCCCAGGCCTTGGGGGGCTACACTAGACAAATCTCCTAAGCTCACCATAACATTCACTTTTAACTTCTGGACTAAACAAAATCAGCCAGCTCTCCTGGGATCTCCAGGTCCCTGATGCTGTCCCACACTCTAGAGAGTGTGACACTTATCCTAATGACCACTAAAACCAAGGTACTTCCAGAGCTGTGACGAACTGTGGAGTGAAGACCACCTTGGCAGGCAGTGCATACGCCATCTCTAAAAGACTAAGCAGGCTGCCATGCAGGAGAATGAATACTCAGGTAAGAAGTGTCCCGGGTGCTGATGCTGGCACTCATCTGCCTGGGGGGGTGGAGGGTGGGGGGGCTCTTCAGTCTCTCTTTACCCAAGAGAGTGAATTTCCAAGGAAAGCCAAGAGGGAGGGGGAAGTGTGGAGGTAAGCACTGACTGAGGCCCATGGCACACAGCCCAGTGGAACAGGGAAACCCAGGGCCCCTCCCTTCTATGACTCAACACCTTCCCAACAAAACTCAGACCCAGATAGATAGCTCAGGGTCACTCAGAGTTGAAGGGAACTTGGAATTCGGAATGAGTTCTCAAAACCAGGGTAAGGAAGAGCAGGTACTGCATGGGGAACATCAAGACAAAGTTGGGGGATATCAGGGATCGGGGTGAAGCCTGGAGTGTGGTATCTGGGAATCGAACCTCCATATGGAGCAAGAGTTGGGATATAGTGTCTTGTGACTAGGGAAGGGGCTCAGCATTGGGACAAACACTAGAGTTGCTAGGACCTGAGGGTCGAGGTATAAGCACTGAGAGTTGGGGGTCAGAAGACTAGAAAAAGAAGGCTCAACCCTCTAGAGGTGAGGCTGGGGGACCCAGCATCGCCAAAGGGAAGGCTTAGAAGCACCTGGCTCTGTCTGTCCCTCTAGAAATGACCTGGACTGAAGTCACACTCATTGCTTGCTGGAGTGTGGACAGACCCTGGCTGGACAGGTCAAAATCAGAGAGGCAGACTCAGAGACACACGGAGGAGAGATAGGCCAAGCTCAGGAGGGCTGGCGGAGGAGGGCTGACGGAGGAGGGCTGACGGAGGAGGGCTGATGGAGGAGGGCTGATGGAGGAGGGCTGACGGACATGTACCGGACAGATAGACACAGTGGTGGGGTAGTTTACATGTGAGGGAAAATGAGAAAGAAGTAGCCTGGGGTCTGCTGAGACTCTCTGCTTCAGATGGGACTCTAGATAAGCTCATAAGCTCTTTGGATAGTGGGACTCTGAATGATGGGGAAACAGAGGTGGAGCCCATACTCCCCTGTACTCTTCAATTCTCTCCGTACTGTCAACAGGATACTGGGAGCCTCCTCGGAAGCGCTGCTGCTGTGCACGACGAGGGACACAGCTCGTGCTGGTGGGGTTGCTGAGCACGGCAATGTGGGCGGCCATGATGATCCTGCTTCTTCTATGGCGTATGGACATCCCCAGCCCCCATAGCTCCCAACCACCAAGCCGTTCTGCTCCCATCCCAATGCCTGGGTGGGCCCAACACCTTTGGAATCTGTTTTCCCCATCTTCTGCTCCGTCTTAATGTCCCCCATCACCCAGCATCCCTGGTTCTACTTGTACCCCCCACTCCACCTGCCAGGTGCAGAAGGCAAGTAATTATTCTTGTCTGTTCCTCTTTCCACTGACCCCTAGACTGGGAAACGGAGAAGAATCTGAAACAGCTGGGAGATACCGCCATACAGAACGGTATGCAGGGGTCAAGGTGGGCTAGCAAAAGTAAGTGTTGGGATGGCCAGGTATTGCCATTTTCTTGCCACTGACCACTGTCAGTGGTCTGCACTGATGTCATCTTCTCCGTAAGGAAGGAATGGACAGTCTAGAATACCCTTCCCATCCCAGTAGGGAACTTCTTCAATCTCTGGAGAAGCCTGGTTATCCACAACACCCATTGTGCCTCCCTTTGCCGTTCTGCGACACAGGCGTGAAAAAAACAAGTGCAGGAAGATGAAGATGTAGTTGAGTTGATGGAGTGCCTGCCCTGGTTTCCATCCCCGGCACTGCATTAACTGGGCACCTAGTGCATGCCTGCGATCCCAGCACTCGCCAAGTGCAGGCAGGAGAATCAGAAGGTTCAAGCTCATCCTTGGCTACATATTGAGTTCCAGAGTATCCTGAGCTACACAAGGCCCTCTCTCAAAAAGAAAAGAAAGAGAGGGGGGAGGCAAAGTCCTCGGAAAATATGGCTACTGCTTTCATAGTTAATCCCAGAGGGAAAGGAGGACATAGCCAATAATTCAGTTCTAGCCTGCACCTCCTACGTTCTGCCTCTCCCTTGTTCCATCCAAAATATGGGGAAAGCTGCAGTTCTGTGATGATGTGAAAGAGGTCCCTGCACTGAGAACTGGGCTGAAGTACAGTGATGTACTTCAACTGGGTGTGGGGGTTGTGTGCTTGCCTGGGTGTCAGAAGGCTGAGGCAGGAGGGCTGCAAGTGAGGGAGCATCTGAGCTGTACAATGGGAAAGAAAAGAGGGAGGGCGGGAAGAAGGGAGGGCGGGAGGGAGGGAGGGAAAAGAGAGAAGGGAATGGACGGGAGAAGGGATGGAGGGAGGGTGGGTTTTTGTGGTTCTGAAACACACCGCTCTTCTTCCCTGTGTCCCAGTCTCTCATGTTTCCAAGGACTTACACAGATACCAGAGTGATCAGTTGGCCCAGAAATCCCAGGGTGAGCCTGTCACCTGTTTCAGACTGAGATGGGGAAGGGGGAAAGGCCTTGCATAGTCAGTGATGACCAGTCATTGCCCTGCTGCAAACCACAGCAGGGCTTCAAGGCGGCAGCCCTAAGGCCCGTGGAGGATGAGGCGGGGTGGGGGTAGGGGTAGGGGTGAGGGATCTCCAGGAGCCTTCTCATCACTGAGTTCTTCTGCTCTGTGGGCAGCTGTTCAAATGTCACAAAGCGTGCAAGAGCTCCAAGCTGAACAGATGCAAATGAAAGTTCAGGGTAAGACAGGATGAAAGTCCCCACCCTCGGAACTACAGGGACACTGGAGGCTGGAGGTTAGGCTCGGGATTGGGGGAGGGGAGTGGTGATCCATATGCAGCATCTCTGAGGCCAGCCATACTCCTTTCAGACTCTGAACTCTCCCAGAACCTGAACAGACTCCAAGAAGAGCTAAAAAACGTCGAATCCCAGAGTGAGACTTGAAACTGCCAGGGGAAAGCGGCAAACTGAGTGAGAAGGGGGCGGGGCTGGGAACTGTCAGTCTCTGAAAACTGCACCACCCCTATACCTTTCAGACTCTGAGCTCTCCCAGAACCTCAACAGGCTCCAGGAGGATCTAATCAAGGTCAAATCCCAAGGTGAGACCAATGGCAAACTGAGTGAGAAGGGGGCGGGGCTGGGAGCTGCCTGTCACTCTCTGAATCCTATACAACCCCCTTCTCGCCCCCCACCTCCCAAGGCTTGAATGAGAAGCGCACAGCCTCAGATTCTCTGGAGAAACTCCAGGAAGAGGTGGCAAAGCTGTGGATAGAGATGCTAATATCAAAGGGTGAGTCTGCCCTGCGGTGGCCTATAACCACATACTGTGGCAGCCTGTGTGCCTCACTTGAGGAGGCTGTGCTGGTACAATTGTGTGGCACGCTGTGACTGGGGGTTGATGTGCACCGATCTAAGTTTATGTTGGGACCAAGACAGATGGGGACATAGAAGAGCACCCTTTGCTCCTCCAGGTAAAGCTAGCCACTGCTATCTTCTCTCCGTTGCTGTTGTCTGCCCACCCAGCCTTAGTGGGGATGTGGTCAGCCAGCAGCCCTACCATAGATGGCAGGGACAGAAGGACAGCTTCACAGCCCTCTAGGGACTCAACTCAGGTAAAACAGGGCTCTTTGTTTGACTCAGAGGATTTCAGGACAAGCCAGTGTGAGGCAGAACTGGAGTTTATCCAGAGAGACTTCAACATGAGTTTTTAAATTATTTTTATATTTTTATTTATTTTATGTGTGTTATGCAAGCATGGAGTTCCCTCCAGGGCATGCCAGGGCACATATTTGGAGGTCAGGGGACAACTTTCAAGAGTTGGTTCGCTCCTACCACATGGGTTCTGGGATTTGAACTCAGATCTTCAGAGTTGACAGCAAGCTCCTTTACTCACTGAGCAATCTCAATCCTAATACAGACAGATCTAGGTGTGGGTTTCTAAAGCAGCTGCCTCTTGCTCTCTCCAATAATCTCAGGTGGGATTTAGTGAGTTTTGAGGTTATCTTCAAAGGCCCGCTGAAGATATGCGTGTGTGTGTGTGTGTGTGTGTGTGTGTGTGTGTGTGTGTGTGTCAAGCTGCCAGTCTTTGTCTTCCATCTCGTTAGAGGTAGGATCTGTTAGCCACTGCAGAAGCCAGGCTAGCTGGCTCATGAGCATCAGGGGTTCTCCCATGTCTCCCTCCACCCACCTCACCCTGGAGGTGCTAGGATTCCAGGTGCATGCCACCATATCCAGCTTTAATCAGTTCTGGGGATTGGAACTTAGGTCCTCATGCTTGCTCAGCCAAGAAACTGTGATTGAGGTCTCAGGGCAGTTCCCAAGTTACAATTGATGAGGTGAAAGGTCACAGGGTGCCAGAAGATAAGACATTCTTACTGTAAACAATTTGTGGTCTTGTTTGAGAGTCCTAGACTTTAGCTGGCAGAGGAATGAAGTCCAACCTGAAAACATATACACCGGCCAGACCTTGGGCCGGACTCACTGCTTTAATATAAGATAGCATATATGAGAAGAATATAGAGATAGTCATGGCAGCCTTCAAACAAATGCTAATTGTGCTGAATTCTTGCTCCTACCAACCTCCAGCAGAGGGGCTCCTTCCTTTTTCGTGTCCCCCTAATGTTCCCTCTCCTTGTGTCCTACCTTCCCATCACTACAGCAGCCTCCATGAATTGACCCACTCAATGCCAAGGGACATGACATCTCCACCAGGGATGGTACTGATGGAAGTGATGTTGGCCTCAGGAGGCCACCACGCTTGCCCACAAGTCGTTGTAGAGCCTGTGACATGGGATAAGAGTGTGGTCACAGTGCTGTGCTCATACCACCATTGCTTCATTACCCTTGACTCTGTCCCTTCCACTTCTGGAAAGTCCCAGCTGTCCCAGAGGGCAAGAGAGAGGAAAGAACTTTGCTTGCTTGGAAGGAGTCCCCATCCCTTGGGACATGTGGCTCTGGGGATTCCAGCAGAAAACCCCTGTGGTTTCATGTGGCAGGAGATGGACAGACTCTAGGTCATGTTCATTGCTTACACATTTCTCACCTCCTACCCTTTCCCTGAGCACACACATGCATACACACTACATGGGTACACACACCTCACACATACACCACACCTCACACATACACCACACACACACACCCTACTCCTAACACACCACACATACAAACACCACACACCTCATATATGCGCATATAAACACCACAGGCACACCACACATACATACACACACACCTCACATATGCACACATACACCACATGCACACCACACACCTCACATATGCACACATACGCCACATGCACACCACACACCTCACATATACATCATACGCCACATGCACACCACATATACACCACACCCACAATACAATGCACATATACACAACACACAAACTTCACATATACACACATCACACTATACACATGTGCCTCACATACACACCATATCATGTACCATTCACCACATACACACACCTACGCAGATGCATACCACATATACATACACCAAATATACACACCACATACACAGACTGCATACACACACCACATAAACACACATCACATACACAGATCACACTCACACATACCAAATACAGTCACATACAGACATACCACATATACACACACCACACATACACCACATCATGTACACAGACCAGACACACAGATCACACAACACACACACAACACAGACCACACACACACACACCAAACATAACAGACCACACACACACATACCAAATACTCAGGTTACATACAGACATACCACATACACACACACACACACCAAATACAACACAGACCACACACACACACACACACCCCAAATACACACACCATATACACAGGACACATACAGACATACCACATACACACACACCAAATATACACATCACATACACAGATCACAGACAGACAGACAGACACACACACACACACACACCCCAAATACACAGGACACATACAGACATACCACATACACACACACCAAATATACACATCACATACACAGATCACAGACAGACACACACACACACACACACACACACACACTGCTTCCCACCTCACCACAGGATACTAGAATTACAGGTGCATCCATCCACCCATGAGATCCATCCACACAGGCCTCATGCCTGTTCAGTGCTTTACCCACTAAGACATCTCCCCACATAAATCCAGTCCTACATCCTGGTGTCTGAACTCAGCTGATACTGTCCCTAGGTGTCACAGCCAGGAAGCTTTCCAGTCTCAGTCTCTCTCCCTCTCTCCCTCCTTCCCTTACTCATTTATCTCCTCATTAAAATATATTTTAATGTTTATTTTACTTCTAATTATGGAGGGGGGTAATGTGCACATGAGTTTAAGGTGCCTGCAGATGCTAGGTCCATAGAGCTGGAGTTATAGGCAGTGGCGAGCTGGCTAATTTGGGTGCTGGGAACTGAACTTGGGTCCTCTGCAAAAGCCATACCTGCTCTTAAACACTCAGAAATCTCTGCTTTGACTGAGGTGTCTGCGGGAGTTGGGGTGGCTGAGGTTTCTGTGGGGGTGGATGAGGTATCTGTAGGGTAAGATGGTGTCTGTGGGGTAGTTGAGGTTTCTGTGGGGTGGCTGAGGTGTCTGAAGTTTCTGTGGGGTGGCTGAAGTTTCTGTGGGGCGGCTGAAGTTTCTGTGGGGTGGCTGAAGTTTCTGTGGGGTGGCTGAAGTTTCTGTGGGGTGGCTGAAGTTTCTGTGGGGTGGCTGTTTCTGCGAGGTGGGGATGGCTGAGGTGTCTGTGGTTATGGTTCTTGTAGTTGAGATGTTGCTAACCATGGAGGTGTTAGTAACTTTGGGACTGAAAGTGTTACATGATACTAGTGGCTGAGTTATAGCTGGCCTTGGCTATTTGTTGCTGGAGCCAGTGGTTGAATTATTTATGAGGTTAGTGACAACTGCCGCTCTGCTAACCACTGGGGTAACTATGGTGATAGTGTTGGTGACTGAGATAGCTCCACCAGTGAACTGGCCAGAACCCATGAAGAAAGCAATCTGCAGACCAGCTGCTAGGCTCTAAACTGGCAGGGACAGGACAGTTCTTCCAGCCCAGATCCCTGGGTAACTGCAGAGGAGACACTACATCCATACATATGCATACTCTGACCATGGGAGCCAGGGGCAGCACGCCATGATGCTCCTGAGCCTCTCTTCTCTGTGACACCAGGAGCTGTATGCAGCACATGTCCCAAGAACTGGCTCCATTTCCAACAGAAGTGCTACTATTTTGGCAAGAGCCCCAAGCAGTGGATCCAGGCCCGATTCGCCTGCAGTGACCTAGAAGGGCGTCTAGTCAGCATTCACAGCCAGGAGGAGCAGGTGGCTTGGGCTCTATGGAGACTATGGACAGCTGGAAGGCAGGGGAGGGGAGGGGACCCCACCCTGGCCTCCTGGAATGGATGGGAAGGACCATATGCATCTCCCCCTAGGACTTCCTGACAAAACACATCAACAAGGATTCCTGGATTGGCCTCCGGGATCTCAATGTGGAGGGACAGTTCATATGGATGGATGGGAGCCCTGTGGGTTACAGGTAAGGGGCCTGTGGGAAACAAGGTAAGAGAGACAGCAAGAAGGAAACAGGCCCCTGGATAAGTACCTCATGGAAGAGTCCAGGGCTCGGGGAAAGGGTCCTATAGGATACAGGAGAGAGCCATAAGGAAAGGATGAAGGGCCTGAGGCAGAGAGCAGCAAGAGCAGACTGGAAAGGTGGGTCTTGGGCTGCATAGAGTACAGAAATGGGGGAGGCCCAGGCACAGAGCCCCCAAATGTGAAAGGAGTATAGTGGGGAAGGACCTGCAGAGAAAGGACACCTCCCTCATGATATTCTATGACTGGAGGTGTTTCTTGTTCCAGCAACTGGAGTCCAGGAGAGCCCAACAATGCAGAGCAGGGTGAGGACTGTGTGATGATGCGAGAGTCCGGACAGTGGAATGACTACTACTGCCGCAGCTTCCTGGATGCCTGGGTGTGTGAGCAGCTGGCCACATGTGAGGCTTCCACATCTTTAGCCTCTGTGAGTCCAACAGGACCCACTCCAAGTAATGAACCCTGACAAACCTCTGCTCCCCCTCTTCTGGATTTCTCTACTACCTTCATCATGGAAACAGGCCCTGAGGATCCCCCCATACCAAGGCCTGGACCCCTCTTTGTGACTGAAGGCCTCCATGATTATGCTTCCACCCATACTGAAGCAGCTGGTAGACACCAGCTCCGCACTCAACTAAGCCCTCCTCACACCAGAGCCCCGCCATGCAGCATGTGTATGGGCGGCTGCGCCATCCAGGGATCTGAGAACACATTTCTGAAGGGGCTTCCTCCTCCTCCACCCTTCCTCCCACTTAATGTCCCACAGAGCAGAGGTTCCCCTCTCCCCAGGGTCTGGCAGCGAATCCGCCCAGCAAGTTTGTGCGCATCAGTGAAAAGGGACCACAGCTGGTCCCCAGCACTCCCCCCCTCCTCCGAGGCTGCACCAGGTGTACTCCAGGTGGGGCCAGTAGCGGACAGTGTCAGAGACCTGATGCCCAACACCCTCTCTGAGAATGCAATGCAACTGATACAGAAGTTTACACCTTGTATATCTTCATTATATTTCTTTTCCTACATTATCGTGGTAACATGCTGAGTAGGTGTGGAAGTACGGCTCAGAAGCATGTGATTCCTAACCATGGCTTTGGGCCAGCCTGTCCAAATCAGTGAGACCCAAACAAAGCTGAGGAGGGCCAGCGATAACCTGAGTTCAATCTCCAAGTCTCCTGAGTCTCACGTAGTAGGAGAGAACCAAGTCCCAAAAGTTGTCCTCCACACCACCATCCCCACACACTTAAACACATAAACACATTTTTAAAGATGTTTAAGGTAGAGTACAACTGAGGAAGACATCTCACATCTCTGGCTCCACATGCACACTCAAACATAATTCTTAAAACAAGGTGGAGGCTAGAGACATGCCTCAGCAGTTGAGAACGCACCTCTGTTCCTAAGAGAGGGAGTTCAGATTGCAGCACTCACATCAGATGACTCACAACCACCTGCAACAGATCTTAGATCTGATGCCCCCTTCTGCATTTATGTTCACAAACCTACAAACATACATATATGAATAGTCTTTAAAAAGAAAAAATAGCCAGGGGTGGTGGTGCACAACTTTAATCTCAGCACTAGGGAGGTAGGCAAATCTCTGAGTTTGAGGACAGCCTGGTCTACGTAGTGAGTTCCAGGCCAGCCAGGACAACATAGTTGAGATTGTCTAAAATAATGTAACAAGCCACTAAGTTAAACACCCAACCTCAGGTAGAGTTGGAAGTGTTGGGAATTCACAGTCATCCTGGAACATACAGCAAGCTCAAAGCCAGCATGGGCTGACAGCAACATGTCTCAGGATAAATTTTTAGAAATATTAACCTTAAATTTGGTGGTGGTGATGCATGCTTTTAATCCCAGCACTTGGGAGGCAGAGGCAGGTGGATATCTGCAAGTTCGAGGCCAACCTGGTCTACAAAGAGAGTTCCAAGACAGGCAGGGCTACACAGAGAAACTGTCTCAAAAACCCAAATTTCATACATATATACATACATATCCTAAGAACTGTTAAGCTTCTGGATGTTTCTGGGTTCTTCCCCCATTGAGAGGCTGGTGTGCCATTTGTTCTCAGTGTGATACCTGGGGCACTCAGCAGTTCTCCAGAATGTACCAGAAACAAATTCTTAGGCATACCCCAAAACTGCAGAATCAGACTGTAGGGGTAGAGCCCAACCACGCGAGTTCTAAAAATTCCTCCAGGTGACTCTGAAGCCCTGAAGCACTGCTTCTCAAAATAAGAGACTGAGGGACTCTGGGAATGGGACTAGGATGCAAATTCTGGTCTAGTAAGTGATTCTGCATGTGAGTTGGTGATGCTAATGCTGCTATTGATACTGTTGATGGTGAAGTAATACTGATGCTGATATTGGCTCTGATGCTGACAGGCCACACGCCACTTTGAGTAGCAAAAGTCTAAAGGAAGAATCACTCTACATATACATTTTTAGTCATACAACCACACCCTCTCCTTTACTATCTACTATTTTTTTTTTTTTACAGAAAATGTAGATTAAGGAAAAGTACCCCTGCCTGAAACTTGTTTAAGAAAGAGTCCTATACTGCCAAAGCTGGTCTCAAACTTGCTAAGTAGCGGAAAACGGCCTTGAACTTCTGATCCTTTTCACTCTACCTTCCTAGTGCTGGGATGAGACAATATGCACCACTATGTCCAATTTATGTGGCATAAAAAAAAAAAAAAATCAAATCCACCAACTGGGCTAGAGCACTGGCAGTTTGCCAGGCCTTGGTCCCTCTTAACCTCCTATCCCTGGCCCCACCTCTCCAGCCTACAGGCTCCAACTACAATTTCATTGGTGCCCTAACTACCCAGTATACCCAGAAACTAGGTCGGCCCATTGTCTACTTCACGCCTGCCTCAGAATCCCTCAGCCTGGGACTCAAGACCCGGATCAGAGTGTGAACAGATATGGCGCCCCTACACAAGACACAACACAAGCCTGGAACAGGATCTGCTCATCCTTTATCTCCTGTGGAGTCAGCGTCCCTCCAGTGCCCGATCTCGGGCGATAACGGCCTCTTCGAACTTGATCATGAGTGTGGTCCCCTTGTGCCAGTGCGCTGTAACCTTGGCAGGGAAGCCGCTGTGCGTAAGCACAGCCTCCACGATGCCCGCCGTGAAGCTGGCACAGTTGAGCGTGCTGTTCTCCTTGGGCACGGAAATGTAGGTGTTGATGAGCGGCTCCCTCTCAATGATGTAGAAAGTACGGGCATCATCATTGGCCTGCTCCAGCTTGTCGGCCTCTTTGCCAAACAGAGCCTTCCACACTGCGCCCTTGACGAACAGCAGGGCACCCAGCACCTTGGTCTCACGCCGGGCACCCTTTTCACGGGCCACCAGGGCATCCAGGACTCGGGCGCCCACCTGGCGGCCTAGGGCAGCCAGGCGTGCCTGAAGCTCAGCCACTGAGAAGACGCGGCTCTGACAGTGCTGCACCAGCTCGGAGAAGAGAAGGGCAAAGGCACTCAGGCTCACCTCAGTGCGCGGCCGTACCAGGGCACGCTCCAGCAGCACCGACTTCCCGCGCGTGAAACGCGCCTCCATGCTGCGGCCCTGCAGGGAAACCAAGAGTCAGGGTGATGGATGAGACCTGGCACCAAGGGCCAGAGGGAGAACCAGGAGGGGCTCCAGGAAACCCACATACCCCATCTGCACCAACATTGGGCACTATAGTACCAAAGAGTTGAGAATTTCCGGCACTCAAACTGCTGGTAAAATGTACGCAGTAAGGATTAGCAAACAAACATAAATATTTGAGGCAGACCCCAGTGAGGAAAAGAGAGATGAGGACTACAGAAGATGGAGAGATGGCTCAGCAATTCACAGCAAGTACTGCTCTTGCAAAACACCTTGAGTTCAATTCCCAGCATCTACTTCCGGTAGCTCACAACCACTTGTAACTAGCTCCACAGAAAAGCAGTGCTTCTGGCCTCTGCTGGCACTGCACCCCCATGCACAAACCCACACTCAGACACATGCATATACATAATTAAAAATAAAAAGAAATATTTAGAGGGGAGCAGTGGAAACTACCCCAAAGTTGGAGACCCAAGGGATTTCTTATTCACAAAAAGCATTTGGAGCTGGGGATAAAGTTCAGTCAGCCCAGTGCCCACCTAGCATACATGAAATCCTAAATTCAATCCCCAGCACTGCATAAAGCCAAGTATAGTGACACACTCCTGCAATCCCAGGACTCAGGAATGGAAGCAGAGGCAGAAGAATCAGGGGTTGGGGGGGGGTCACCTCTGCTATGTATGGAGTGAGAGCATCCTGGGCTACGTGAGACCTTGTCTCAAAAAACAGATGGCTCAGGAGTTAAGATCATTTGTTGCTTTCTAGAAGGCCTGGGTTTGAATTCCAGCAAACACAGGATGATGCATGGCCTTCTGTAACTAGTTCTAGGAGATAATCTGCCTGCTGAAGGCACCAGGCACACACACGGTGCACATACACATATGCAGACAGAACACCATACACATAAAATAAACCTCAAACAAATTAAGAGCCATCCTAAAGAACTACCGATGGAGCTGGCAAGATGGCTTGGAGTAAGGACACTTGCCTAGTAACCCCAGAACTCACACAGTAGGAGAAGAGAACTCACTCTCAAAAGTCTTAACCTCCTCCATGCACACTCATGAGCACACAAACACGAAATGAATAAAAAATGCAATTTTTATGAAGTTGGCAGAGGAATGGCTAAAAATTAAGACGGCATATAGAGATGACATGAAACTGAGTATGGAGGTGCCCACCTGCAACTCCAGCACTCAGGGGATGAAGCAGTATGATGGCTGAAAGGGGCCAGCCCAAGTGAGTTCCAGGACTGTCTAGGCCACAGTGAGACCCTGCATGATGTCACCATGAAAAACACACCTCTGGGTTTCCAGATACGTTTAACTCAGGGAGGACCCACCGTGAGTCCGTAGGGCTGAATGAAAAGGACGAAGTCATCTGATCATACCATTCATCTCTCTGCTTTTTGACTGTGGACGCACTGCAACCATCTGCCTCGGGCTCCTGCCATGTCTTGTCGATAATCATATAAACAAACATTTATATGCTGTTTTTAGTTGCTTTTGTCAGGTATTTAACCACAGCAACAATGAGAAAGCCTTCAAAGGGGAGAGTTGAGGAGTGGAAGGGAGTCAGATGTTCTCCCTGGCGGGTTCCAGCCCTGACTACCCTAAAGACCTTCCTGCTCAACCCCTCCAGGAAAGCAAGTGTCTGACAGAAAGGGGCAGGGGTGAGTCATGGCCAAGACATTATCGGAGCACAGACAGGGAGCGGGCGGGGAGGGGGGGGGCGAAAGTGTCAGTTTGTCAGGAAGGAAGCCATCTCCACGGCGACCTTTAACTACAGAAGAGATCCCGTTGGAAGGTCGCAATCCCACAAACTCTCTAGAAAGCTGCACGGAAAGTGAGGAAAATAGTGGAAGAGGCGGGAGGCGGCGTTGGGAGCCTCTGGGCCTCCCGTGCCTGCAGCAGGGAGCCACAGCTGTGTATGGAGACCGAAATGGAATCCGGAGGTTGAAGGAAAGACTTCCCGGAGGAGCTGCGCCCTGACGCGTCTCCAGGTGCAGCCTGGGGGATGGATTGGAGCCGACAGCCCGCCCCTACAAAGAGTGTCCCAGGGACTCGGACTTGGGAGATCAGGATGCTGGGGAGGAGACCTGCAGAGCGCGCCACAAGGCTGCTCAGCTGAGCTGTTCGGGGGCCAGACCCCGAAACCCGCATCACCCCGAAAACCCAAAGCAAACTGACCCGAAAACGCTGCTCGGTCGCACGGAGGAAAAACGTGCCCCTTGCGCGCGGGAGTAGGGTTTCGAGCCAGGAAAGGTCTCAACCGGAACCAAGCTGCAGTAGGTTCCGCGAAACTTCTTGACGGCGTCGTAAAAGGCCCTTGAGTGCGCAGGCGTGTGTGGGTTAGCCTGAGCGCACGGAGGGCGGGGTGACAGGTGACCGAGGGCGGCCGCGAGGAGGCGCGCGTGTCCTCCCAGGCCCGCAGCTAGATCTTGCTTTGAAGTAGGCCTTGAGCAGGAGTACATGCATGATTTCAGGCACATGTTTTCTTATGAATATCCTTGAAGTGTAGGTGTGATTTCTCGCGGTTTACCCAGACATGTGATGAAGGACATTTAATCTGGGAATGTTTTTTCATCTTCCACAAAAGGGTGGCTTCAATGCTTTAGTAACAATAGTAGGATTACATGTATGTAATTGTTGTGTGTGTGTATTTGTATGGTCAGGAGTGGAAACCATAGGACAGCTTGCAGGAATGGGTTCTCCCCTTCCATCAGGATCAAATCCAGGCCATCAGCCTCAGCAGCAGGCAGTTTACCTGGGGAGCCGTCTGACCACCTCTGTATTTCCTTTGTGTGTCTGTGTCTGTGTCCCATGTGCCTACACTTCTGTGTGGAGACACAAGAGGTTGACATTGAGTGGCTATCTCTATCACTCCTGGAGTTACTTTTAAGACAGTGTCCATCTTACTGAACCTGGAGTAACCATTTCTGCTAGCTGGCCAGCATCTCAAGGAATTCTGTCTGCCCCCACAAAAAGAAAGGAAGGAAGGAAGGAAGGAAGGAAGGAAGGAAGGAAGGAAGGAAGGAAGGAAGGAAGGAAGGAAGGAAGGAAAAAGTCTTCAGCTTCTGGGGTTACAGGTATACACCAACACACCCACCCAGCTTTTTTTTTTTTTTTTTTTTTTTTTTTTTCTAGGCACTGGGAATCAAACTCAGGTCTTTATGCTTGTACTTTATCCACTGAGACTTCTCCTAGCCCCTAATATTTTTGTGCTGTTTATTGGTTGGTTGTTGGTTGTTTGGAAGAACCTTGCTGTGTGTATCCACCTTGATAAGAGGAAATGCAAAAGGCAGAAAGACTGTAGATCATTTCCTCCTGAAGTCTATTCATATCTCCAACAGCTACATGTTTAATTGATTTAGTTTCCAGTGCTGGAGATAAAACGCAGGGCCACATACATGCTAGATAAGTACTTTACCTCTCAACTATGACCCAGCCCCACACATTTAATTTAAAACCTTCTAGCAGCCATGTTTTAAAAGATATAAAACAGTAAGCTAAATTGTTTGCTTTTCTTTTCTTTTTTTTCCTCTGTGTGTGTGTGTGTGTGTGTGTGTGCTAGGTGTGGAGATCAGGGCCACACATGTACTGAGCAAATATTCTATGGATGAGCCACACCCTTGATTCTAAGTTCATTTTAATAGTGTGTGTGTGTGTGTGTGTGTGTGTGCATGAGTGCAGATATATGCAGAAATGTGCATGTAGCTAGACATAGGGGCACACACCTTCAATAAATACTGCCATTCAATAGGCAGAGACAGGTGGATCTCAATGAGTTCAAGGACATCCTGGTCTACATAGGGAGCTCCAGACCAACCAGGACTATGTAAAGAGATCCTGTCTCAAAAGAGAGGAGAAGGAAGTGGAAGAGGTCATGTGCCTGTGGAGGCCAGATGTCATCCTTGGCTGTTTAGACCAAGCTGACATCAAACTCAGAGCTCCACCTTCCTCTTGCCTCCTGATTGCTGGGATTAAAGGCAAGAGCCTGGTTGTGGTTTCATTTTTTAAATAGGGTCTCCTGCTGGGATTTGGAGCTCTCCAATTCAGCCAGGGTGGCTGACCATAAACCCCAGGGATCCCCTGGCTCTCTCTCCTCAGCCCTGAGATTACTGTTGTGCACCAACATGTCTGTCCTTTCATGAGGGTTCTGGGAATTGAAGTCGGGCCTTCAACCTTGTGCAGTGGGCACTCTTAAAGAGTGGATCATTCCTGGAGGGACCCTTGCACTTGTGGGTGCTCCACCCTGGACCTGGGATCAGGTACAGACCACACCCAATCACCAATTTCCAAGCACCAACCAAATGCAAAGGAATCCTTTATTAATCAAGACGAAGAGACAAAGCAGCTGAATCTTAATAGAGCAGAAACAGCAGCAAATGGTTTTGCAAGTGTTAATTATAAGAGGGAAAGGGCGAAGGTCTGTATTTGAATGAACTGGGATGTGTTGGTAGGTTCTGATTGGGTATCTAATTTGGTTAGTCAATATAATAATTTTGATTGCTGGGCCTTGATGTTTTGATAGTTGGACCTTGGTGATCGGTCTCCGTAATGAGTCAGAGGCCAAATAAGGGAATAGACCTTGGTGGCTAGTTTTAGGGGTGTAATCTAACAGTTTAGCAAGGAAAAAGAAGGGGTAAGGGCAATACCTGTCAGTGCCATGTTTGCCATGCTCAGGCCTGTGTCTGCCTTGCTAGGGCCTGCTAGAGCCTTCAACCCCCTGGCCCCAAATACTATTTTGTAAATGTTTTATAATATTTTGGGTACTGGAAAGATGGCTCAGTGGTTACAGAGCAAAGTGAGGGCTCCCTTCCAGACCCCAGGATTAGGCACAAACCACACCCAAACAGCTTTATCTGGGAGGGGTGGGGGGAAGAAAAATTAAAGTGGTTACTTTCTGACTCTGGCAGAAAAACAGTAGCAAATGACCTTGCAGGTGTCATTTTTAAGAAGAGAAAAAAGGGGAGGTCTGTGTTAGAATGGACTAGGATGCTGTGTTAAAGGAGATAGAGAATCAGGGAGAAGAGAATAGGGAAAGAGGACAGGGGTATTTGTCCCAGTGGGACAAAGGATTGTCTCTGGACAGAGAGGAGATAGACATGGCGCGTAGTCAAATGGTTTACAAAGATGAAGTGGAAACCCCCATGTTAGGATGAGGTGTTCAGTTTTAATTGGGCATGTTAATTAGGTAAGCCAAAGAGGGCTTTTGATTGCCAGACTTTGGTAGTCAGCCTCAGGAGGAGGAAATGACCAAATGAGGGGGTAGATCTTAGTGGCTAGTTTTAGAAATATAATGTTACAGTTTTTAGCAAAGCAGAGGGAATGGGGGGAAAGGCAAGGTCTGCCAGAGCCACATGCTGGAGTGGGCTGGTGTTCCTTCAAAGGGTACTTGTTGCTCTTGCAGAGGACCAGGGTTTAATTCCTAGTACCCACATGGTGGTTCACAACCATTCCAGAGATTCAATGCTTTCTTCTGATCTCCACAGGCATGAGGCATGCATGTGGTACATATACATACATGCAGTCATACTTGCTGTAAAAGCACCCATAGCATAAAATGAATAAACCTAACTTTAAAATTTTTGTAATTGTATTGATGAGGGATATCCTTCTGTATATATGTATGTATATGTATGTATGTATATATATGTTTCTCTTATTGGTTGATGGATAAAACACTGTTTAGCCAACAGAGGCAGGAAGATAGGTGGGACTAGAAGATAAGGAGAATTCTGGGAAAGGTAGGCAGAGAGAGACCAGGAGGATAGGACATGCCAGGCATTTTCTGGTAAGATAATGTCATGTAGATATACATAGATTAGTAGTTATGGGTTAATAATTAAGACATAACTAGCCAATAAGAAGCCCGAGCCATCAGCCAACAGTTTCATAATTAATATAAGTCTCTATGTGCTTATTTAGGGCAAGGCGGCTGCGGGACCAGGCTAAAAAGGAAACTCCAGCAACACTGTATTGCATTTTTATTAATTTTGTGTGCATGTATGTGTGTTTGTATGTGTGTGTGCCATGGTGTGACTAGAGGTCAGAGGACAACTTTTGTGAGTCGTTTTTCTTCCATCATTTGAGACCTGGGGATAGAACTCAGGTTGGCAGCCCTAGTACTGTTTTTAATTAGTATAATACCTTCCCTATTGTCCTGGTGGGTTTTTATCAGTTTGACACAAACCTAGATATACTTGGGAAGAGGAACCTTGATTGAGAAACTGCCTCCATCAGATTACCTAAGGCAAGCCTATAGGGCACTTTCTCAGTTGGTGACTGGTGTGGGAGGACCTGGTTCACTGTGACAGGTGATCCTGGGTTGTATAAGAAAATGGGCTTAGCAAGCCAAGAGGTTCAAGCCAATAAGCAGAGATCCTCCATGCCTTCTGCTTCATTTCCTAACGTCCCTGCCCTGATTTCCTTAAATAATAAGCTGTGATATGGAAATGTAAGCCAAATAGGCCCATTCCTCCCCATGCTTTTGGTCATGGTGTTTTATCACAGCAATAGAAACCCTAAGACACAAAATAATATCATTTCATCACATGGGTGTTATTTAAAAATCATTAAAGAAACTGGGCATGAGCTGCCTAAACAATACCATCAAGACTCTCCCTATAAATAAATAAATAAATAAATAAATATTATAGTGGATACTGAGATAGCATGTTTTTTTTTTTTTCTTTTCCTTTCTCCTTTACTCTTGTCTTTGTTGATGTCATTTCTTCCTAGCGTTAAAAACCAAGTGTGGCCAGGGTGGGCAAAGACGACCACAGGTCTTCCAGGCACCCCTCAGCTGGCACAGGCAGGCACCACTATGATGAACAGGTGTGTGGTAAAAAAAATGAGGGCAGGAGAAGCAGCATGCTTTGTGCACTGTGGAGAAAATCAGAACTGAATCTGCAATGAGGGTGAGGAACAGGCTGAAACGGATGACCTACACTGCCACCTGGGGCTGTAAGATATCCAGACTTGTGCTGCTGCCTAGGGCCATGTCCGGGTCCGTGGTCCTACTGCAGCCAGGGTCTGTGATGATGTCTGTGACCTGTGTTACCACTGAGGGCGATGGCAGAGCTGTCCCAGGTGGCCTAGGGACCAGAGAATTGGTCCCACCCCTTATCAGCTGCCTCGCAGGAGAGTGGTCATCTCCCCAACCCCCCCCCAACTGGCCTCAGTGGCATGAGCATAGGAGAGCTGACCTCACCCCTCTCCATTCTGGCTGGAGAGCTGGCCCTGACCATCACCTGAGGGGGCCAGTCCTGGTAGAGGT